TAGCTTGGATGTTATCTGACTGCAAAGCTCTTAGCCCTCTGAAAGGCCTGCCACAGCATACAAGCCACTCTTGAAGGCCAGAAGACCACTGGTCTCTGGAGCATGTATCACACTGGACAGGCTGCAGAACAATGGTGCACCAAGCCCAGAGCACTGTATAGGGGCAAAGCCTGGCTCTGAGCCCATCTCCCAGGTTTAAATTGGCTTCCACAAGGTCGAATGATTAATTCCTTGGACCAAGGGTAGTGAAGGAGCATAGCACCTAGGAGATGATGCCCAGGAGGGATTGCCTGCAAACCTTGGCTGAACACAGGGGCAGAACTGAGCCCAGCATGGGGACACTGGCTGAGGTTTCCTCCTTCAGTTGGCCTGAGCACCAGGGCACGTAGAATGTCAAACCCTCCTTGAAGGGTCTAGGACATGAGAGGGGCAGGCTCCCTACTGTGCTTGGAGGGGTTGGTGCTGTCTGTCCTGCCATGATGAAATTAGATTGCACAAGTGAAATCTGCTCTTGTTTCCTGAAAGTCCTTTTATTTTCTTTTCCGTAAACAAACCATACTTGAGCTCTAATCTGTGCTGAGATGAAGCATTTAACTTCTTCAAATCTTGCCAGTTTTACAGTCTGAAGGTTGGGGACAGCTAGGGGGAAAAACAAGAACAAGAAGTCTCTTGAGCTGTGGGGTTACTTTTATTTTCCTTTGTAAGATGAAAGTGTTTTTCTGTGACCTGAAACTGTTGAATTTTCCTCTTTCCCCACAAAGCTTTTTCTTTTGCTACTGATGTTGTGTAGGAGACAGTTTGTGTGAATGGCTTAACTTCTCAGGCCATCTCTTTAGTAAGGCTGCATTCTGCCCTTCTCTTGCATAAAAAAATAGGTGCCATTTACTTCCACTGATGAACAGATGAGTGCCATCAGCTGAATTCAATTCATTACTCCATATACCTTGTATTCCACATGCTGCTATTGGAGCTATCAGATGCTGACAGGATAAGAGAAAGCAGCCTCTAGTTGTGCTATGGGAGGTTTGGACTGGATATCAGGAAAAAGTTCTTCACTAGAAGAGTTGTCAAGCATTGGAACTGGCTGCCTAGGGAAGTGGTGGAATCACCATCCCTGGAGGTTTTTAGATGTGTAGATGTGGCCGTCAGGGACATGGTTTAGTGGTGGACTTGGTAGTGCTGGTTAATGGTTGGACTTGATGACCTGAAAGTTTTTTTCAACCTAAGGTTCTATGACTCTATGAAAAAACTTCCTAAAAAATGTTACTCTGCTTTGCAATGGGATCGTTTCTCTGACAAAGATGTTTCTAGGGCACTTGAGCAACCATTTTTTTGGTACGTCTCTGGAAACACATCTTGGATGCTTCCTATTCAACCTGGACATTCCCATATTAAAAGCATGCAGATGTGTTTTTAGTTCAAATTAACAGAGATGGGAATGGCTATTCACATTAAAAACAATAAAAGGGATCCCAGTTCTGTAGGAGGGACTGTGCTTATGAATCCCATTCAGAGAGCAGGTGCTGTGTTTTGGTTTGCAGTATTTACTCAGCTCTGCCCTTTCTGGTATTTCTCTGAGATGTTTGTTTTTACCAATCACTAAATGATCAAAATAATGATGTTTGACTTTGCTGGAAGTGTGTTTCTTAGTGGTGGGTTTGCATTTGGAAAAAGTTGGTGATGTCAGTGGGTCTACAGGAAAAATCTAGCAGTGACATATTTGAACAGCCTTCCATTTGAGTGCAAAGGATTTCTACCACAAGTGCTGATTAGTGAAATTAATTTAATAGCACATAAACTGTGAAATTTCACTTGTATTTTCTGCTTTTTTACTAATGCTTTTGTTGTGAAAACAAAGGAAAAATGTGGTATTTGTGATGCTGTCACATCTTCCTCTTTTCCACAATACTTATTTTTAGCAGAATTTAAAGACCATTCCTTATTAAACTCAGGCTTCCCTCTTGCCATAGTTTAAGCCCAGCCAGTAACTCAGAACCACACAGCCGCTCGCTCACTCCCCATTTCTTCCCTCCCTGCTCCCAGAGGGATGGGGAAGAGAATGGAAAGAATGTAACTCCCGTGGTTTGAGATAAGAGCTGAGATAAGAGCTGTCCGCTAAGGTATAACACAAAACCACTGCTGCTACCACCAATAATAATAATAATAATAATAAAGGAAATAACAAGGGGAGAGAATACAATTGCTCACCACCCACCAACCAATACCCAGTTGAACTCAGGACAGCTCTTCAGGCTCCAGTGCTGCTTCTATCCATTTAAACATGTTTCTGGAGCATATATAGGTGAAATGCTGAAGGCCTATTAAAAGTGCACAAGAAAGCTTATTCCTATGGGGGATTTTGCTGTGAATTAGTGGGCTTATATTATCTGCTATAATGCTCAAAGAAAGAAGTCTTTTCTGAACTGTGACTTCAATATGTACAAGTCCTTCAACTTGTTAGTATCCTAAGGATGCATAATACCTCTTCCCTTGAAGTAATGGTTTCCAAAAATCAAGAATGTGTGCTTAGGGAAGCTTTAAGTGATGGAAAAAATATGACTTCTGCCCCGATCAAAGCAAAACAAAGCACTTAACCACTGCACTCTTTGTTACTGCAGTGTTCTCATAATCAGGGAGCTCTCTGAAGGAGAAGATACCAAGAGGCAGGATACCTAGAATAAGAGAAGGAGCTCTGGCCAAGAATAGCATCTCGAGTTCAGCTGTCTAGCTAAAATCTAGGCAGCCCTGATGAAGCAATCAGCTGCTCTGGTTTCCTCTGTGGGTAAGAAGGGGTTATGATGCCTCCTTGCTACAGAATGGGAACTGAAGAGCTCCATCTGTTTCCCTGGGACTGATCGTCTAAAAGCAGGGTTAAACCTTGTGGAACAAATGCAGGTGTGGATGTAACAGACTGGAGTTTCATTTTCATTGTAATATGGCAGAATGGCAGAGATATATATTTAAAAAAAAAAAAGGGCAAGCATGAATTTAAATGAAAGTGAACAGCTATAACAGGGTTGCTGGTAACAGTAACTCAATGATGCAGGATACATGATTAGACTAAGAGTAGAAAGTGCCCATCTGACTTGCAGAGAGACAGTACCTGCCTGAGATCTAGGACATAAACTTGGGGAAACAAGGTACAAATGGCTGTAATTATATTAATGATAGTAATGATATTAATGTTAGTAATGTAATGGTAGTAATAATACTCTTCTCTGAATACCATGAAGACTTGTATGTAGACACATGGTCCTAGTGTCATCTGCATTTGCAAACCATTACAGTAGTCCTGTTAGAAAATGCATGGGTAGGGTACAAATGAGCAGGATTTAAATCAGACCCCAAATCACAAAACATGTGGACTAGAAACCCCACAATAGAGATATTCATAGTCTGAGTTTGACTCAACAGCAAACTATTCTCTGCCACATCATATAGAATGAGTTTTTCTTCTGTACAGAAAAGATGTAACCTCTTCTTCTGGTACTTGATTTCTCTATAGAATACTACCTGGTTAATTATGTTGAAATAAAACTCTGATTTATATTGCAATCCGATAAGCCCGATTCACTTCTACATCAGTCCATTTGATCCATCTAATCCATCTAATTCAAGGAAGCTATACTGAAGAAAATATGAAGCAACACAGAGGCAAATAATTTCTGATTAAAAGGATGTATTTACTTTAAATCAAAGTAATTTAAATCAGCAAGCCAGTCATTTGCATTGCACTTTATTTTTTTTCCTTTAAGAAATTGGGTTTTCATTGGTGTGCAGCCCTCTTGCTGTGATTATTACAGCTAAATATAACCCCTTACACTATACCAGTGTTTGTTTTATTTTGCAGGAGGGTGTGCAGTATATGTACAAATCTACATCACTTACTGTTTACTTACTCCCTCAAGCTCTTATTTCCTAAGCAGTTTGTTTTGCTGTCTAGCCAGCTCCAGGCTGGTTTTATTTGGCCAGTCAGGTTCGTGAGGGTTCTGCTCTTCCAGGCTTTAAAGATGGCCCATTCTTCTACCTTGCCCCATCTGAAGCCCAGGTGAGCTGAGGAGCTGGAGGAAAGGGCTGGTGGTGGGTGCCTCCTGGAGGAGGAGGAACCCAGAGCTGGAAAGGCAAGTTCTCCCTCTGTCTCTCCTGCCAAGGCTGGTGGATGCTCTGCAGAGCCTGTTTGGCTCTGGTGGTGCGTCCAGCAGATGCTCCCTGTTTGGACACTTGGCTGTGACAGCCAACATGTGCAACTTAAGTGGTCTTTCTTGAATTTTCTTCATGTAACTGAGCTTGATCCATTACATTCAGCTAGGCCTGAAATGACAGTGTGGGTTTTTTCCTAATTTAAAATATAGTTTTATAGGATTACTCATAGAACCATAGAACCACAGACCTGTTTGGTTTGGAAGGGACTTTAAATACCACCCAGTTCCAACCCCCTGCCACAGGCAGGGACACCATTCACTAGAGCAGGTTGCTCCAAGCCCCATCCAACCTGGCCTTGAGCACTGCCAGCGATGGGGCAGCCACAGCTTCTCTGAGCACCTTGTGCCAGCACCTCACCACCCTTACAGAGAAGAGCTTCTGCCTAAGAGCTACTCTCAATCTCCCCTCTGGCAGGTTAAAGTGTCCTGTCACTACATGTCCTTGTAAAAAGTCCCTCCCCACATTTCTTGTAGGCCCCCTTTAGGTACTGGAAAGGCTACAGTAAGGTCTCCCCAGAGCCTTCTCTTCAGGCTGAACAAGCCTGCCTCTCTCAGCCTGTCTACATAGCAGATGTGTTCTAGCCCTTAGATCATCTCCATGACCCTCCTCTAGACTCGAGCAGGGCCATGTCCCTCTTGTGCTGGGAGCTCCAGAGCTGCACACAGCACTGCAGGTGGGGTCTCATGAGAGCTCAGTAGAGGGCAAGAATCACTGCTGGCTCTTTGAGCTGCAGGTGCACACTGCCAGCAAGTAGCGTCAGCTGTTTAGCTTAGTTGCATTTAAGCTCCAACTGAGAAGCCCCACTGGTGCCAGTCCTGCCTGACACTTACATTCAGCACCCAATGGTTGTGGGCAGGGCTCTTTCCTGCTCCTTCACCCCTCCTGCCCCCTTGCTGGAGGCACAACCAAACCAGCACCCAGCACTGAGGGCCGAAGGCGGCACCCATGCCCTTACGCAAGCCCATAAGGAAGCTGTAGGCGGGCATGAAGTGACTTATGAGGCTGAGCACCCGCCTGCGCCTGGCCTTCCCCTTGTCCTGGTGTGGAGCGAGCGCCTCGGTGGCCCTGCTGCAGGAGCCACGCACCCATGGCCTGGCACTGAGCCCCCTCTCTGCCTCACGGGGAGCCACAGGTACTCTGTGAGGGAAGTGCAAAGGGCTGTGCCTGTGCTCGTGGTTTCTTGGGGCTGCAGTGGGCAGGAAGGAAAGGGACGTGATGGCAAGTGCTGTGGCTCCTCAGGCGCTGCTCCCCTGTCTGTGTTCCCTCTCCTCCAGGCCCAGGAGCTACAGGAAGATGGTGTGCCTGCCCATCGCCCCACTGGCACTGGCGTTGAGGAGGTGGCTGGGGATCGGGCTCTTCGTGCTACTCTGCCTTAGTTTAGGTAAGCAGGAGATGCTGGTGTGGGAGCACAGCAGGGGTTGTGCTGGGCCACAGCACCCGTGTATGGGGCAGCAGGGGATGGCAGCCGCCAGGGCACTCGGTCTGGTGCCTTTTGCCAGGGCAGGGTTTGAGGTGGCTGGCTCTGCTAACCACGGCAACGAGCATGGAGGTCCCTGGAGCTCTCAGCTCCCCGAGCCAGTCACACTTGCAGGTTCCCAGAGGGTGGTCACCCCTCCCACTGCAGTGGGAAAAGAGTGTTTTCAGGGCACCTGATGTCTGTGGGTAGCATGTGCTGCAGCCCATCAGGCTTTGGATTTGATGGTAGAGTGGTTTCTTCAGTGTTTTGGATGGATAGAAGTGAGCATGCGGTGGGAAAGACAGGACAGTGTGACGGGCTGGAAGGATCTCTGCTGCCCAGACAGCACAGGACACAGGGAGAGCTTTCCTCAGCAACACAAAGTCCCTGTGAGAGGACTGCAAAGGGCGTCCCCCATCCTTCTCTGAGGACCTGCCGCAGAACTCATTGAAGTCCACAGGTCCCTCCTGACCTCAAGAGGCTTGGGATGAGTCCTCCTAGCTGTGTGAGGTGTTAACCTTGCAACCACACAAAACTCACTTCTGAGCTGGGGTTTGCTGTGGGTGCAAAACAGGTTGTGCTTATTGGCAATGTTAGTGTCTCAATGTAGCTAATGATACTCTAGAGCAAACCTGGGCTGAACTGAGGCTTTGATTAAAAACCAAGTGACGCAAAATTTTCTTTTCATGCTGATGTTTTGAAACTGGGAGATATTTGATGCTGAATTTCATTTTGAGTTTCAGTCTCAGAATCTTAAAGCATAACTCTAATTTTAACAAGGATTGAATCACAGAGCTCACTTGTAGAGAAAGCAACCACCTCAAATGCTGCTCATGAGATCTCTGCTCTCCTGTCTTCCGCCTTCTCCAACCTTTGTGCTTGTGAAGCAAATATCAAGCACAGATGTATTTTGCCTGTACTGCAATGGGTGAACAATTTATCATGTGCAGAACTGTTTCTCTCTCTCTATTTGATGAGCTTGTGGTCTGTTATTAATGTAATTATAAGCATGTGGTAATTCACCAGTCATCTAGTTTCTCTAAAAATAATGCTGATTCCAAGGCCAAAACCCAGCAATACGTGGATATACAGTCTGATGCATGCTAATGTACTAGAAATAGAAATTTGATAATAGAAAACCAGGTGTTCCTATAGTTGTGCTTTTTTTGATATGGTTTGCTAAATGAATGATAGTTTATCCTGCCTTCTCCCTTTGTGTCTTTTAAGCCAGCTTCTAACTTTGAAATCCCCAGCCCAGTTTCAACCACATTTGACAGGAAGGCAAATCTGGCAGAGATGCAGTGTCCTTGCTTGCTATATGGAAGCTGTTGGCTAGCCACAAGCAGCACCCCAGCAGCCAGATGCCATGGGGTGTACATGAGGGTGTCCTCATGGTGAGCTGACAGAAAGGGCAGAAGGCAGCTGAGAGGGGCCGTAAAGATCATGGTGGCATCAAGGGCTTGGGAATGGGCTGGGAGGCATAGGGACAGATGCCTGGGCTGGCAAAAATAATGCACAAATCCGTAGGCCAGCAGGAATTGGTCATCCTCTTGCTGAGAAGACTTACTTCTCCAAATCTATCAATTACAAAATCCTGAGGTTTATTTCTGCGGGGGGGGGGGGGGGGCTATTCTAAAGCATTATATCAGCTTTTTGAGAATAATTGTTTGATGCTTCCCACACAATAAGTCAATGGAAGTGCTGGTGCCTCAAGTTTCTCAGCAGACTGGAAAGAACAGCACAGCCAATGTCATTCCTTTCTCTCTCTGTATTCAAGCAGGCACACCCTGACACCTTTCTCTCCAAAAAGAGGTATTCCTACATTTAATGACCTTTGAAAATATATGGTACAGTACCCACAAATGAATGGTTTTAAAAGCTTCACTGGGATTTGTAGCTGATGCCTTCCCTAGGTGGCCCACAGGGACCACAAGGTTCAACTTCTGACCTTGCTGTGGCAAAACAGTGAAGCCCTGGGGGTCTGCCATCTCCCTGCCATTGCCCTGCTGACACATTGTTAAGCAAGTCACCAAAGCCAGTATTTACAGAACTGACTCCACATGGGACTGCTCATGTCCACATCAAAGCACAGTTGGCACCCAGAGCCTGTGGCTACATCTTGCATCCTTGGGTTTAGTTCAGCTGTCCTGGTGCTTGTACAGCTCAGAGCTGTACAGCTCCAAAAGGTCAGTTAGCATGCTAGGATGAAAGCAGGTGCTCTCTGTACAGCCTGTGTGAGTAAAATGGTAATACAGGGAAATGCAAGGCTGAATTTTCACATCACATCAGTAGAAGGCATGAGTGGGGGGCTTTATTAAAAAGGATTATTTGAAGGTTGTATTTCATAGGAAATTGTCTATGTCTACGTAGATATATGTGTTTGCCCTTGAACAGTATTCTGCTGCTCTGGGGTTCACCTGAGGTGACCCCAGAAGTGCCAGTGTAATTTAAAGCAGAGATGTTTTCTACTGCTGGAGACACTGATGTGCATGAATACCCTGCTGTCTCAGCACACTGGAAAAGTGGTAGAGCAGCCTTGATTACAGCACAAACTTATTATGGTCTGAACACATTGCCAGGCTTTTCTCCTGCCATTGCACATTCACACCTTCCAAAACTCTGCAGGATCTTCTCAGTCCCAGTTTGTTATACTAGGAAAATGTTGCTAGAAGGCCCTCAGTACAACCTTTCCCTGCCCTGTGCGCAAACACAGGCACAAAGCAATCCCAGCTTTGTGTCCATGGAGCATTCCTTTTAAGTTTCCCTAGAGTCTTTTCTTCTGACTGGGGACCACCTACTTCTTAGTTTTTTCCCAGTGGTGAAAAGTTTTGGGAAGTTTTGAGGAAAATCCCTACAGCTTTTCTGAGTTATTGGAGAGTTGGGGTGGGGAGGGAATATCCACTTCCCTCCTCATTGCTAGCAAGCACTGTCTTAGAGTAACTCACTCTCATAATCCCCACTTGCATGTTACTGCCAATAAAGCGTTTGGAGTGGAGCTGGGTTTCAGAAAAGAGGGCTGGGAATAAGAAAGATTCCTTGTTTCGTGGCCACCCCCCAAAACTGAAATGTCTGTCAATGAGCTTTAGGGTGCTTATCATGTACTTCCTGTGTCCACTCTGGTATGGGTTCATGGGGGAGATGGCAGAAGCTTTTCTGTATGTACTGGATTTGCCTACTTGATCACTGGATGCAAATTGAGTTTCCATCTTATTGCTCTTGCTGCCTTCACCTCTTTTTTTACATTTCTGTTTCGGATGAGTTTCTGTCTCCTCCTGTTCCAGACATGCAGAAAATAAATGACTTTGGTTCAAAAACAAGAGCAGCGGAACTAAGGAACTCCTTTGTCTGCCTGTCCAGAGTGAAACCTGCTGTAACAGCTTGTCTGGGGAAACAGAAGCCCTACTAAAGGCTCCTGCTTTTGCTTATAGACTTTGTTGGAGTTTTTTTTAAACAAAAAAATTCTTTAGGAAAATAAAAATTAAATGTAGACAAGCGTCATTCTTGCACTGTCAAAATACAGCTCTACACCTGCATACCAAGTGTGTAAAGCTACCAGTCAAACATTCCTTTTACCCATATATTGTTTTTTTCCCAGTGAGATCAGAATGAACCCAGGTAGCTCCTGTGAGCTCACATTAGTCTGAAGGCAACAGCTTTTTTGCATTTCTTGGATCACTGAGACATTTGTATCCTTTTTGCAACTTGAATGTCAGACGTTCCTGCACTTAAACATGCAAAGTCTGGGGCTGAAGATTTTATGCTTTGCAGAGGTTACCAACAGAAGCTGCTGCCCCCTCTCTCCTGCTCATTGCTGCCTTGGTTCTGAGTTACAAGCATGATTTAATGGGCGTAATTAATTTGACATAAATGAAGGCTGCCACTGACTGGGTTATCCCCCTGCCTTGCCAGTGATAAGTTGGTTTTCCGCAGGGGTCAGCCCAGCCTCTCTAGTGCCAGTTTGCTTTTATACCCAACGCTGTGTACCTTGGAGGCTGCACAGCTGGGGGGGCAAACAGTTTATTGCCACCAAAGGTTGCAGTCCTGCTACCCTCTCCTCTGCTTCTGGCTATGCAAGGGTCCTCTTCCTTGCACTGCTTCTAGTACATTTCTGATCCTTGGGTGGTCCAGCTTGCTTAGCAGAAAGTTTCTTTTTTTTCCCCTTGTTTTACACCAGTGTGGCATGTTGAACTAGCCTCTGAAGAGCCCTGCAAGGAAAGCAGTGGGAGGGAGCTCATGTGGTTGGAAGAGAGCTCCCCAATGGGGAACCAGATCCCCTCTGCTCATGTGGAGAAGGCCAGTTTGTCTTCTGGCTGCACCCACAGGTTGTACCAGGCTGGAGAATTTCCATTCAGAGAAACCCTTCTTACATTTAAACATGTGTGTCCTACTATAAGTGCTGCGCACGTGTGGATGTGGCGTTTTCATGAGGTGGCAAGGCAAGCATGCTGAACGCAGTGAAGTCTGTTTGCTTGGTAAAAGGGGGGTGGTTTTGTTTGTAAATAGATAAACTTTATTTATAGCTGTTGTGTCCCCTTGGAGGGGCATCGCCATCGGGAGCCACAGGAGGTCATTTGAGAATATGTAAATCTTCCCCAATGCAGAAATGCCACAGGCTTTATTTCTGCTTTTTCACTGTTATGCTTTTAAAATATCATTGTTCCCAGGGGACTCCCTGGATGAAAATAAAAGTGCTGACTGCTGGCTAACAGTGGCACTTCTGGCTATACTGTGCTCAAAAGGCATTCACCTTTTGGTGAGCGCAGAATGCTACTGTATCATAGAATAAGTTCTTAGAAAGACCATGGAGTAAGCCTTTGCGTGCACCACTACTCATGCCGTAGCAGGTCCCTCAGGTGTAGTTTTAAGCACATGGCAGACAAGTATTTCCTCCCTGTGCCAAGGGAAGTGCATCAGTCTGAAGAGAC